TTGTGATTATCTCTGAGTTGCATACATAAGATATAAAACCTCCCTTGCTTGTCTTTATTATGAGTACATTGCAGAATCAAAGAGGCTGGAGCCAATAGTAGACCAATATAATCCAGTTCAATGAAGTTAATCTGCATTCTGAAACTGCATCATAGTAAATCTAGCCAGGGAATATGATGCTGACAGCATCTACACTGTAAAATTAATGCAGTTTGACACCTTAAACTACCATACGGACCCCTGGTGGCACAGCAGGTTAAACCGCTGAGCTGCTAACCGAATGGTTGGACATTCAAATCTAGGGAGTAGGGTGAGCTCCTGCTGTTAGGCCCGGCTTCTGCCAACCTAGCAGTTTGAAAACATGCAAATGTGAGTAGATCAATAGGTACCACTCCGGCAGGAAAGTAATGGTGCTCCATGCTGGCCACATTACCTTGGAGGTGTGTACGGACAATGCTGGCTCTTCCACTTAGAAATGGAGATGAGCACCACCTCCCAGAGTTGGACACGGCTAGACTTAATGTCAGGGGAAAACCTTTACCTTCACTTTAAACTACCATAGATCTGGGAGTTGAAGTTTCACAAGATCTTTAGCTTTCTCTGCCAGAGTGCTAGTACCTCACCAAACTACAAATCCCAAGAATCCACAGCATTGGACTATGGTAGTTAAAATGGCGTCAAATCACACTACTGCTGCAGTGTAAATACACCCTTTGTGTTCCAGTCTGTCTCCTATGTGTATAAGTGTATTTTTGCATACAAAATAGATATAGGTTTAAGATAAACTATACTGCAAATAGGCGATCTAATGTATAGCAGCCCATATCTCATTCCCCCAAAGAATGATAGCATATAAATTCTAAATGCAGGACAGGAGAGCAATTGTTAGAGTAGAAACAGCTCAGAAAAAAGAAGACATAAGAGAGAAAGTAAATATGTACAGTTTGTTCAACATGGCCAGTCCCCTTCATTTTGCCTCAGGCTCCAACTGTTCAAGCAACAAAGCCATCAACCTTCTAGAAAATAGTGATTAAGTGGGGTTTGCCCAAACAATGGCCCAGCTGGTTAAATATTTCCAGCAGCTCCAAGAGCCATTGTAATGTTTAGGACCAAACACAGAACAGTTTGCAGAACAAGGTAGTTATGCAAACTCATGCCTAAAGTCCTTAGGGGGTCAATTGAAATAATTTCTGGGCAGGTAACTTCATACTTTTCTTTCTTTCTTTTTAATTGCATTTTTCTTGTAGATGCCAAAAAATAGCAGGGGAAACAGGAAGGCATTTTGCAATTATTTGAGGACTGGGAGAATTTGCCAATTCTGTCCCAAAGTAGAAAGTTTCCAGCAGGCATGGTGCCATTTAGGGAGTGGAAACTCAAGTCTATTGCAAACCCAAGTACATTGTTGGAGGAATTGTATAAAAAGCCTTGATCAATGCTACAAAGATGCCAGATCAGACCCACTTCCTACTTATTTTATAGTTTTTCAGCTTTTCTTCTAAACAGTATCTTTTAGAACTTCTCTCTTTTCTTACTATGGTCAGCTAGAATCCCCCCGAAAGTTTCTGCACTTGTTGTTGCAGTTGTTTGTCTTCAAGTCCTTTTAATATATTGTCATCCTGGGGTTTAGCATGGTGTTTTCATAGAGTGATTTGCTCAGAGGGGTTTGGGCTCTGCTTTTGTCTGAGGCTGAGAGAATGTGACTTGTCAATGGGTGAGGGCAGATTCAAGGCTTTGCCTTCCGAGTTATAGTTCAATATTAAAATTGCTACACCGGCTCTCTTTATATTCCTGGAGTAAACATAAACCTGATCCCAGATGCCTTTGGAGGACTGCGGCTTTCATCAACCCTAGTGGTGAGGAATGTTGGGAACTGCAAATCAACAGCTGGAGGCCCACACATTAATCCACTGATACCAACAGCATTCTTTGGACATTTGTACCCAGACCTGGTATTTAGATACATATTGCCTTTGAATATGTGAGCAAGATGTAGCTAACATAGTACAAGAGGTATTCCCAGAGATGGAACAAATTTGTTGTTTCTTGTTTTGGGCCTTGAAGTAATTTTGGACTTGTGGCAACTTTAAAGTAACTCATATGATGGCGGAAAGGGAATGGCGAGGCAATACACATTGCTGCATGTTGCTGACCTTTCTCCCATCTGATGGGGACAGGCTGCCAACACGTGCTGCAGGAAGGAAAGGAGGGTGTGTGGGGCACCACAAGGCACTCCACTTGCCTTCCCTTTCACCAGTGACTGAGTGGGCTGTGTGAAAAGGTTGCAGGTTTCCATAGCTGAAAAGGATTTACAAAGATAGATCCAAGGGCAGTGTACTGGAAGTGGCCTGAAGCATCCAAATGTATCCCGACTAATTCCTGCCAGCTCCTATTTTTTTCCAGCACTCAGATACTAAGATATTTAGTAGGGAAAACTTCCCCTTTCCACTCGGAAGCCCACTGTGGGAATTGCCTTACTTGTGCAGATATAAAAAAAAAATAAGACCAGGGCTGGGAAAATGAGTGGCAAATCCTAATTAAGCCAGTTACTGTCTTGTCAGTTTACTAAATTACAGCAATCTCAGGCTCTTTTATATCACCGCAAGTTATTGAACTGTAGCCAGGACAAAAAAGTCACAACACAAACAGTCTCTGTGCATCCCTTGTTAAGAAGTTCCCAAGAGAAGCCTCAAGGTAGAGAGGGATCACACTGAAAGAAACCCCAGACAAATGTAGAATTGCCACAGTCATTTCCCAAAGGTGATGGTACTTGCCTCCTAAGGAACTTGGGAAAGATTACCTCAGGCCCAGCGGGGCAGCTAGAGTACCAAAATGTCATTTTGACTGTAGCTCAGATAGGCCTACTTCTGTTTTGTGAAAGAAGAAAACCTATCTCCAATCAATCCATCCAAGGTTGCATGAGGATCGATAAACAAAGCCAATGAGGAAGCCCCACTGTCTAGTTCCTGCAAGCAAAGAGCTCATGGTTCTCGTATCTCAAGGAGAAAGAAAGGTCAGATAGCTCCCATCAACCACAGACCAAGGCATTTCAGGTGCTATATAATTCATGAGTCTTCTGTTTGCTCAGGCTGCCATTTCCTGAGTGGTGGAGAAATGGCTGCAGGAAGGAAAGGATATCTGGTGAGGATTTGTCCCATCTGCCCTTAGCATAACATTCAATGTCTATCTACTTGCTGTTTTGAATGCATTTCCAGAATGCACCCATGGATTCTGTATCCACAGAGTCACGTTTGAAAATAGTCAAAAAGATTCCAAAAAGCAAACTTTGATTTTGCCATTTTGTATAAGGGTTACCATTTTACTCTGACACTGTATATAATGGGAGTTCAGCATCCAGAACTGATATCCACAAAAGGTCCTGGAACCAAACCCCAATAGCTGCTGTAATCTCATACTTCTTTTGAGACAACAATAATTTCATATCTCCTATTAAAATGTATTCAGAATAACAAACATTCTGGAATGCACCAATACATTTTTGTCAGCACTTTTTAAAGGCCTGCTACAATTTGTGCAGTTTAAATATAATCCAGCAAAACAAGGATAGCAGTTGGATACTATTTTAGCCGTCACACCTGCATCTTAAGTACTTACCAAACTAAACATTTCAGAATCCCATTTGATGAAACTACCTATGGCAATTGAACTATATAGTGTAGTTATTTGGAAATCGTGCAGATGTCTTCTGTCCTGTCCATTAATGCATATGCCTGATTATTTTTAGATGATCTATACATCACTTTTCTGTTTGGGCTCCCTTTCCGGGACATGGGTATCTGAGAATCACTTCCCTGCTGCCACTAACAGCACATTGTTGCTATTTTAATGTTTTAGTTGTCACATTGTGGTTTATAGAGTTTGCTATTATGCATTTGAAGTATTTAAGCACAAGATTTCTTTTCCACAAGGAGACAATGCATAATTGTTTTTTAAAACATAAACGTATTTGCATTATAGTTGCAGGAAATGCAAATAAAAATTAATATGTTTTTAGTGCCATGGTCAGGCTCCTGAGAAGTTGACTAAGGACTCCTTTAGTCAAGTGATCAAATGCAAGTGGATCCAGAAATTATAGTCACAACCAGACTATTATTTCATACTGCAAGAAAGGACACTATTGCAGCCATCGGCTTGCCCATCCAAGGTTTAACACATAAAACAGGCTCATGAACAGCAGCATTGCCCATTTACAGTTGACTCTCCACATTTGCAACTGTAGCTTTTGCAGATTTGATTTATATATTAGCTCGAGGCATTTGTAGATCATCCAGCACAACATTTGGTAGAAGCTGACCAGAGTTGTGCTGGAGAACCTAGAGATTCCTAAAGAGCTTTCCTCTCAATAAAAAAAGTAATTTTAAAAATGTTTTCCAACTTAGAATCATAGAATTGGAAGAGACCTTGTGTGCCATCCAGTCCAACCCCCTGCCAAGCAGGAAAATCACATTCAAAGCACTCCCAACAGATGGCTATCCAGCCTCTGTTTAGAAGCCTCCACAAAAAGCCGTGCACCCCGATCCCACAGAAGTGGAGGGTCTATTGTATACTACCAAGGTTGTCTGAGCTGAAAACAAGTCTGCTGCATCCTATTCCTTGTCTTTATAAGAGTTGATAATTTTAAGCAAAAGGTTGCAAGTATGAGGCCCCGTGGCTGAATTCCCAGATTAGTTAAGTAATAGAAACCAAGAGATTAGAAAATGGTCAAAAAGAGAAAGGAGATTGGGAGAAGGATTTTAAAACAATTTTCAATGAAATAGAATTGCTTATGCAACAAACACGATGACTACATTTGTGGCACCTTGAAGCCTAATAAAAGCTTTCACAGAAGTGGACTGTAAATTTTTAAAAGTCCATGAGATCATAATTGGAGGCACAAGATCCTTTGTTGTCTTTAATTTTCCCTGTAGTCACCTCCTCATTCCCCCTCTTCCCTTCAACTACAAACTCATCAAGAGAAATAGGAAAACAAGACAACAGCAGCATTTAGGAAAAAATGAATTTAATTTGTCAGGTAAGTCTGGGCTAAAAAACCCACGTTCTAGGAGGACACACTTCCTTCCCCCTCTTAAATAACACTTGGATTAAACATAGCCTCACTCATCCACTCACACTTTCTCTCACACACACATATTCCCCTCTCCTTTTCTTCCCACCACTCACTCACAACCATTATTTTTAAAAACAGAAAAAGGTAATATCATATGTCATTATCTGTATAAAGACTGTCTCACCAAAATGCTGTGTGCAAATAAATACCTACATACAGCAAGATCTAGAACTTCATTCTAAGCAAAAATGGGCAGAAATCATGACTCAGTGCAAGTCTTTTCGACCCACCATGATAAGTGTGTTTCTGAACACAGATATAGGATGAACCCTATAGGCAGGATGTGGTCCTTCCTCTCATTGTAGATAGAGACTCCCTAAACAGAGAGCATAAGAGAAAAGGTTGGCTCATTGGCCAAAGGCACCAAGGACACCCATTCAGAGGCCTTGAGAGGACTGATGGGAAGGCATTGCTAGGGATATGCATTGCTTCCCCACTCCTGTTCTTCAAACATTTCTTCAGTTTGGCCCTAGGCCTTTTCCTGACTGTATTCTCTAAAGAAACAGCAACTCTTTCCAATCTAAAGTGAGGAGAGAATAAATGGTGGCATGGCAGGATTTATTCGGTGCATAAAGACAATGCTCAGGACATAGCCCAACAACAAGCATTTGTGTGATAGCAATAAATCTGACAGTATTTTAGAAAGACTGACAGGTTTACAGTGGCAGACAGTTTGTGGGCCAGAACCCTCTTTGTCAGATGCAAATGTATCATCTGTAGCTTGTAGAAGCACTTATGGCTACAAGGCAGAAGCTAAGGATAGGTGTGTGTTTTTTGTTATTACAAATCATTGTAATTATAAACCGTAGTCAGAACTATATATCACTTTACTGTATGCAGATCAATAGATGAGAAAGATCCAAGGTGCATCCAGACAGCGCCTAAAACGCGCGAGCATCTGTGTTTTTACATGGAACGTCCAAACAACGCCTCAGGTAAAAACGTATTCCTTTGGGACAAAGCAGGAAAGCCCTGCTTTGTCCCAAAGTAATTTGGCAACAGGTTTTTCCAGCTGTTGGCAGAGTCCTGGGACTTCTGAGAGGACCATCTGCACAGCCCTCTCCTGTTTTCTGGCCTCCGTGAACCCGGAATATCCAAGAGGGCTCTAACGCCCGCCCCAACCTCCCCAGAAAAGCATTTTAAAAAGAAAATAACTTACTCGGCCACCATTACCATGTTCCTGGATCTCTCTTGGAGTGCACAAATGGTGTGCCAGGAGAAGAGGGGGAGGAGGAAAATCGCTCCTGGCCCCGTTTTCTACTGTTGCGTCATTTTTAAATGCCAGGAGAGCTCCCGCAGCATTGTAATGGTGGCCAGGTTAGGGTTATTTTCTTTTTAAAAGGCTTTGCGGGGGGGGGGGCATTGTTTTGTCTGGGTATGCTGCCAAAAAGGCTGACAAGGCATCTGGACACACTCCTCCTGGAAAGCGCAGGGTTTCTGGGGCATCTCTAGACTCCGATGCAGGCCCAATTGGGTTTTTAAACCGCAATTGTGCTCACATTAAAGTCCTGCCTGGAACCGTCCCCAGTCTAAAGAAGAAAAGACACACAACTGATGTAGACCATTTCCAACTGGTAAGAAATAGATAAAATCCACTGAACAGAGAAACTGCAGTTTCTCTGGCAACCTGGCCACTTCCAGTTGCCTGGGAGTCCACTTTTGAGAGAAATTCCAATTCAGCTTATTTATTTTTCAGAAATGTATTATGGTTACTTTACTACATGGTTCTGCAATAAACATATCCCTTGCCCTGACAGAGACCCTGGCTTCATTCTGTAGTCAGCCCTCCTCATCAATGGGTTCTGCATCCACCTATTCAACAAAACACAACTCAAATATCCCCCTCTCCTCAAAAAAATCCAAAAAAAGAAAATCTTGATTTTGTCATGAACTATGCTGATGTGTAGGCATATCCTACTTTAGCCATTTCACAGATCCTCAAGCTCTCTCCAGCACTCATTTGTTCAACATTTTATAAAAGTGACGCCATTTTATTACACTATTGTATAGAATGGATTTGGACAATTATTGATTTTTTATCCAGCTGGGATCTTGAAACTAAACTTCAGCAGATACCAAAGCTCCACTATAATTAGATTGCTCCATCACCCGCACTGTAGTCTGTGCTAATTTACAGAGCTTAGGAGAGTTAAGTTTTGGACTACGTCTCTCAAAGTACACACCCACCCATTTCACCAGCTGGAGGATTCTGGAAACTATAACCCAAAAGGTAAAATTTCCATGTTCCATAGCCATTTGCCCTGCCGGAGTCCCAGAGTTTCCAAGTTCCAAGTTCTGAGTCACCTTCGGGGTGAGAGAGAGCGAGATAGAAATATAAAGTAAATAAAGTTCTACTTGTACACATAATTTGCATCTGACAAAGTAGATGTGATAAAAGGAGGGAAGGGCAGGCTGGGAAGACTTCCTACTGAAACAAAACTGCTGTTCAATATGCAGCAAGCATCATGGATCTCCCACAATTGTCAAACAGCATGGAAAGTACTATTTGAATATTCAGTTAATCCATAAATAGCCTGTATGTCTGCTTTGCCTATCTGTCATTGCCTCTTTCATGTTCAATGGATGGGATCAAGTCAGGCATCAGTAAGTCAAAATACAGGCCCTACATGACCCAGACTTCTGAAATGTTCTGCAGAAGTACATTCAAGACAACCCAGCCCTAACTTCTTCCACTTATATATATATTTATGTCAGGAGCGACTTGAGAAACTGCAAGTCGCTTCTGGTGTGAGAGAAATTGCCATCTGCAAGGACGTTGCCCTGGGGATGCCCAGATGTTTTACTATCCTGTGGGAGGCTTCTCTCATGTCCCCACATGGGAAGATGGAGCTGACAGATGGGAGCTCACCCCTCTCCCTGGGTTCAAACCACAGATCTTGCGGTCAGCAGTCCTTCCGACACAAGGGTTTAACCCACTGTGCCACAAGGGGCTCTACTTCTTCCACTGAGATTATAGTAGTTTAAAAGTCCAAGTATAAATAGTCTGTCTGCTGCCTTAACTTGTGTTGCAGGAGGAGTGTAGGAAATGAACAAAGAATCTGAGAGCAACATAACATTGTCAGTTCCAGGGCTTGGTCCAAAGGCAGGAGGAGGACTACAGACGATCTGACCCCAACTTGGGCTAGAGTCCCTGAGTTCTTTCTGCAAATAGAAAGTCTCCACGAAGGACCCACATCCATGTAACAACATCCTTTTGAGTTCGGAAGCTCCTTTGCAGAATCTGGCAACAAGGTGGAAAGAAGAGACACCAAATTATCCACCCAGAGACTTGGCTGAAACTTAGGCAAGATCTTCACTGTGCTGGAAAATGTGTAATTTTACAGCAGAAATGGGGTGGGGGTAGTAGAAAGCAAACCAGTAGTCAACCTGGTCCATCAAAAGTTATGGAGTTAAAAAAAGAGATGGGTCCCAAAGTGCTGGTTGGCTGTATTGCAGAGATGGCACTAAGAAGAACTTGGCTGAAGTTTCCAAGATCAGTAGAAGTAGAAGTACTTCTGTTAAAATATCCTAAAAATACGCTCAGTACATCTCAGTAGAATAATCCATATTTTCTATAGCAGAAGTAAGGCAGAGCACTTGGGTTACACATAAGTAAAAGAAGTCAAGCAAAGCACTTGGGTTAAGCATTATTTCAGCTTCCATGATGACATATCAAAAGGCAAACTGAGGCCTTGATGCTCTTCTCTAAAGACAGAGTTTGCAAGGCATCCTTGAAGAAATGGGGCCTGCTGAGGTATCTACCATCTGCTCTTGCTGTATGGAGATGAAGCCTGCATCAAAAGATAACATCAAGACATTTGGTTATTTACAGCATGAAAAATTCTTGGCAGATCAATACAATAAAATAAGTATACATGACAACATATGAGGTAGACAATAAACCTGTTCTTTGCCTTCAGGGAGGATTTGAGCTCAGAAGAGGAGGAATGGGCTGTACTGATAGATTGAGATCAGAATGATTAGCCATCCAAGGATTTCTGTCTTCCATTAGTTTAAAAATTGTTAGTAGATCTACATATAGTAATGTACAACAACCTAATCTACATATAAAAAATCTCATCGGTGGTTGGGACTAGTAGTCTGTAGTGAAATACAGTTGCCTCACACTCTACACACCTGTCCACTCTTTCCATCCTTCTGGGCCATTGCTTGCTTTGCCTGTGACATGTAGGCCTCTTCAGCACGAAGTGTGGAATTGGCACTGGCCATCATTTGGCTGTTGGCTGTGGCCCGAGGCAGGATGACATCGTAGGGGCCCTCAGTCTGCAAGCGAAACAACCGCAGTGAAAAATGAAAGCGATCAACTCATATAGACGGTTTTACACAACATTACATGTCCATGTCTATCTCAAATGCAGGTTTTTTTAAAAGGCCAAATATTGTTCCATTGGGGACCACTTTTTGAGAAGACTTATATTTCCACTCTAAAATATTTTCATAAACTATGTGAAATATCTGTAGTGTTCATTACTTTTCTACTATAATCACATCTCCACATTTGTGGGCTTAACTTTTGTGGGTTTGATTGTTCACAGATCTGTGTGTCTTTTGAGAGAGAAGAAGTGGGATATAAAGATTACAATAATTACTACTACTACTAATATGGTAACTCTAGGAATCTCTAGATCAGTGCTTCTCAGCCTGTGGGTCCCCAGGTGTTTTGGCTTTCAAGTCACAGAAATCCCAGCCAGTTTACCAGCCGTTAAAAGATTTCTGGAAGTTGGAGGTCATAACATATGGGGACCCACAGGTTGAGAACCACTGCTCAAGATCCTCCAGTGCCATTCTATGGTGAACATCTGCCAGAGGCTGACCACAGAGATGTGCTAGAGGACACAGGTTTCTGGATAGAACGTCCTCTCTGGGAATCTCTAGGTTCTCCAGCACAATTATGTGGTCAATTTCTGGTGGGAGTTGGCCATAGAATTACACTGTAAAGCTTAAGAGACATGTTTTCTCAGGTAAAAATAAAGTGGGGTTTTAATTCATTATTTTCCCAATTTTCTACCAATAATCCCAGTAAATGTGGAGGGCTGGCTGTACTTATAAATGTGCAACTCATACAATAGTTTTGAGATGTGAATTGAGGACAGAAAGGATGAGAGCAAACACAAGGCAGACCAGCACTTTGCAAGAAGGGGGAAGTCATTATTACTCAAGCATTTATTTTTGGTGTCTAAAGAGAATGACTCATAGCCAGGTAGAGCTCAATTTATTCTTTCGCACCTGGCTCCTTTAGTGGAAGGCATGAACTCATCACATTCATGTCATCAGCACTGCACAGTATCAGCACTTGAAAAATAGCACGAATACAGCAGATGTTATGCTAAAGCTAAGATAATGAGAGACAATGCCACAATTCAGTGGCAGTAACCATGTATGGCATAATTTTGTATAAACACATATTGTTGCTAGGAAAATAGCTAACTTTTCTTGTATCCTCTCCAAATATTTTAGTGCATCCTGACTGGATAATATTACTGACTTACTACTGCCTTCTTTTTCCCCACTCATCCTCTATCCCGGCTAAAATTATACCCAGGGCAACTGGTAGGATCAAGCCAAATAAAAACCTCTCTTAGCAAGACAAGTCTAGTATGAAATGTGGTACTAAACCTGATTATGAAAAATACAATCCCAAAAAGTAGGCAAGGGTTCACATAACCAATCAATTTTCCATGGAACAATACAAAATTTAATTTTATGTGAACAGAAAAATTACACATAGGTCTAACCTTTGATGTCTACATTTTCTGGGAAGAGAAAATTAGGTATCTAAGGATAGATGTATAATTACAGTTGAAAGAGGTAGGCTTAAGATGTATACTGGAAGGGATTTTGGCAGATGCTGCTTGTCATGAAGCCAGATAACAAGGAAAAGCTGCAGAAATGCTTTCGTCTACACAACTTCTAAAGTGGTGGTTCTCAACCTGTGTGTCCTCAGGTCTTTTGGCCTTCAACTCCCAGAAATCCCAGCCAGTTTACCAGCTGTTAGGATTTATGGGAGTTGAAGGCCAAAACATCTGGGGACCCATAGGTTGAGAACCACCGTACTAAAGGCACATGAGCGCTGTCCAGTTTTCACTCAACTAACCATGGGACAGGTTACCATCTCATTCTGCTCCTTTTGTGAGGACTATGCCTTGGTCCTTAAGCAGAATGAAGTCAATAAATGTTCTAACATGAGACTGTAGGTTTTCATCATCTGAAGACACATTGCCATTGTTTGTCATATTTTCCTGTGTAAAAAGAAACTAGACTTAATACTGCAGGGAAACTTGCAGTCTTCAAGCAGAAAGGTTAGTCTTGAGTTAGCTGTTAACTTCATCTCTAGCTTAAAGAGTATCCTTTAAAACAAAGCATGGGACTACACAGAAAGGCAAGCTTTAGTTAAGTCAGATAAGAAAAGATGGCATGGCCACACACTCACTTACAGGTCCTTTGTGCATCAGAGCCATCTCTGTTGGCTGGTACACGCTGGTCAGTAGCTGCCCATTGTATCCGCTGTAAGGTGACACAGGCTTTTTGACTGAAAGGAGAGAGAAGCCACAAGACAATGGAATTTTAAAGCAAAATGAGGAAAAAAATCAATGTAAACACAACATTCCTGAACAATGTTGCCATTCCTTCTACTATGTCAGGAGGCCCCTGGGCTAGAATCTGGAATATTCCACAGGAACAAATGGCAACTCTGTTGGCTCTGAGCTTGAAGGGGATGAGGCTGCCTCCATTACGCTTCAAGAACATTGGCAAGTCACAAAGAGGACCTAGCAAACCTGAAGAGGTGCCTGTACCTTTACTGCAGTGGTTCTCAACCTGCGAGTCCCCACAAGTTGAGAACCACCGCTCTAAGGGTTATGTAAGAGAAAGAATTTCAGAAGACATTGTCTGGTGACAAGCAACCCTGACAGTCTTTGTCTGCTTTGTGTGATGCAGCTCCTCGTGAATGAGCTTTCAGGACAGCAGCACTGAACACCTCCTGGCAACACAATACTCCCAGATTCTCAATTCGCCCCATGTGCATACTCCAACCATTGGAATACCTCTGGGCAGAAAGAGCCCAAAAGGCTTCCTGCTGACCTGGAGCATTGGTTGAGTAACATAAACCTTCTCGACTCTGGTTCAGTCTACGATTCAGCTCTAAAAGACAATTAGAGATTAATATGCATCCATGCTCTGTTGTCTCTAAAATATTTAATTTGTTACAGGGAAGATTATATATTTTAAAGGTTATTTAGTTAAACGTATCATTCATTTACTGGTATATGATCATTCATTTTGTATAATAAAGCATTTTAATTGGGCTTTATTGATGTATAAATGTTTTCATTATCTAACCAACTACCCTATTCCATTTGACAAAGTATAATGGGAAACAGGCTGAGATTCTGGATAATCCTCCAAAGTTGTCCATGTGCCTCGCTAAGATAGTGAGATCTTTGCATTCTGATGGTTCACACTGTACATACACAACATTATGAACACGTTTGGTCTTAATGGTTGAATGATTGAAATGCAAAATAATTTAAAATATTGTGTATAGAATTATCTTGAGGCTATGTGTCTAAGGCAGGCGCAAGCAAACTTTGATCCTCCAGGTGTTTTGTATTTCAAGCCCTGAAATCCCAGCCAGCCTGCTGTTAGGAATTGTGAGAGTTGAAGCCCAAAACACCTGAAAGGGCAACGTTTGACCACGCCTGGTCTAAGATGTATATGAAACATAAGATTAACTTCATGTTTAGATTTGGGACCCATCATCCATCCATCCATCCATCCATCCATCCATCCATCCATCCATCCATCCATCCATCTATCTATCTATCTATCTATCTATCTATCTATCTATCATCATCATCTGTAAGTATTTCAAAATCACTCAAAGCAGCAAAGGGAGGACAGAGGTAGATATGGTCCCTAGCAACGTATTGTTGTTGAGTGTCTTCAAGTTGTTTCTGACTTCTGGCAACCCATAAGGTGAATCTCTCACAGAGTTTTCTGAAGCTGAGAGTGTGGAGCTCACCAAAGATCAGACAGTGGGTTTCCATGGCTGAGCAATGCCTCAAACCCTGGTCTCTAGAGTCAGTATACAACACTCAAACCACTATACTGCACTGGTGTATATGTGAGAGACACTAAAGTATACATTTCCAGCCCCTCCAAAATAGCGTGGGCACAAGGTTGAGCCTGTCTGCTTTAATCATGCTGCTGAAAAGGTTGATAACAGATATTAGTGTTCCTACAGCTATGGGTCCACGATTCCACACACAATCTGCCTAATTTCTGAGACTGAGCTGATTTTCTTCGCTGGGAGGGCCAAAGAGCAGCTGGGCGTGATAAAGATGTTTTCAGAGGGTGTGAAACCTCAGATCTGTCTCCTTAAATATCTTTCATCCCCCAGCGCTTTTAAAGAAAAGTACAGTTGTCTTTTCAACTTTTAAATAGTTGAAGTCCTATTGGCTTTGGGAGAGATGTGCATGAAGGGACACATCTCCAAAATTGATGCCTCGGGGTACATGTCTTTCAAGCAAAGGCATCTGCTCAGAAAGCCTAATTAAAAGGTGAACTTTATAAATATATGATTTTTTAAGGAAAAAAGGGAGAAACCAATATAGGAAGTATAGAAACAACAAAAGAAAAAGACTACAAAATAAAGATGTGCACAAATTACATCAAAGGAATGAATGTGAATTCATGTGTTGGTTTTGACCTTTAAAGCCCCACATGGTTTAGATCCAGGTCACCGACAAGATCGCCTTCTCCCATGCAATCCACCTTGAACACTGAGGTCCTCTGGGGGGCGGCTACTCCAGCCAGCCAGAACCCGACTGGTGACCGTCACCCAGAGGACCTTTTCATCGGCTGCCCCAACACTGTGGAACGATCTGCCAGAAGAGCAACGGCTAAATGAGCTGACAGAATTTAAAAACCACCTAAAAATCTCTCTCTTCCAGCAGGCCTACCCAGCCAGTTTTAATCATGAATTTTAAACTCATTTTCTTTGTTTTAATCTCTGTTCTGTGTATTTTAATACATATTTTGTAGAAATATGTTCTAATATGTGTATTTGATATAATGTTTTTTGATGAGTATGTGTTTTTAGCATGTTATAACCTGCCTCGACCCATGATGAGAGGTGGGTAAGAAACATTATTATTATTACTATTATTATTATTATTATTATTATTATTATTATTATTATTTACTGACACAAAAATACAAAATTATTATTATTCTTTCCAATGTGTTGTTCAGTACATATTCATGCCTAGACTGATTTCAAAGCAATATCTCCAGTTGGCACACTTATAAGTTCACCTACTTGTTTTCTCAATCTTGAACACCATTTTCCCCACTTTATGGGTTAATATTTAAGGTTTTCCTTCACACTGAAAAAAGTGTCGTTAAAAGCTTCACAATTTATATTTTGTTTGTTGGTTAGGTTAGTTACTTAGTAGGGGAGAAGGGAGTATATGATGGTTCCTCATTTAGGGTATCTAACCCTAAATGAGGAACCATCATATAAAAGCCTGGAATCCATTTCTGCTCTTTTTAAGAAGAGTATATACATGCTGAAACTTTTCTCTCATGGATATTTTTTATGACTGATTAAACTGTAGATTTCCTCTTCATTATGTATCATGATTCATTTGGTATGCCACTAGGAGACAGAAAGGATCTACACCTCTGTTCACAGATAGATTTTTAAAAAGGAGAAGTGATTATTCTTTCATGCTGCTACTTTCTGCTGGAAGCAAAGCAGAAATCCTCTACTAATCAATGTACCCAAGCAAAGCAGGAATCAGAAGCCTGCTGGGGCCTTTATTTTTTCAGTAGGCCATAAAACAAAGCTTTGTTTGTGGGTAACTACAGACAAAGTAGGTTTTAATGAGCTTAGGGACCTTCCTTGTATCAGGGAGTCCTCTACGGTTTATGGCGCTCAAGAGGCAACCCTCGCCGTCCTGAAATCCAAGGCAGAGATTGAGTCACGTGCGTGTGCTTTACCCTCTCAGGTTCTCTGCAAAGAAATGTGAACTAATCAAGGTTTTGCAGTGTGTGGGAAATGGCAGCTACCATTGCACTGCCATCAGCCTCACACAAGGAGACCTTTGCACGGTCCATTCTGGCTTCTTTGCATATGCTGCAATTCACTCTTGGCAACTGGTCTGTGTACTCTTTCTGCAGAAGTAAAAATATCACTTTGGTTTCCTGCAGCAGCTGACTAGATCTGCCTACACAGCTCTCTGGAAGATGCTCAATTAAGATTCAAAAAAAGAAAAGGAATACGTTGTAGTTGCTCTCTGGAGTAAGGGCAGAGCTTCTGCTGGGAACTCAAAACTTGGAAAAGAGGATATCATCCCCACCCTTTTTTTAAGTAAATAACTACAGCAAGCCCCCCTCCCCCCACCCTAACCCCCCCCCCCCAAAATATTGCAGAGGTTAGCGGGACAGGACTGTCACAAAGTAAGGAAATTCTAGATGAGAGAACATTTAGTGCATCCTGACTGGATAATATGACTGACTTACTACTCCAGAATGATTCTATGGTCAACTTCTGGCAGAGGAGGACCCAGAGAAGCATTTTCTCGGCTAGGAAACTCTAGGTCTTCCAATGCAACACTTTGGCAGATGTTGCCCATAAGAGTTACACTGGATGACCTAGAACAGGGCTTCTTAAATGTTTCCACGCGTGACCCCTTTCCACTTGAGGTAGTTATGAGCAACGCTGGGTAGGTATATGAAATAGGTATAAAAATCAAACATTTACTGATAATAAATCTGCATTTGAAAGCCTTGGTAAACAGGCTGGTTTCGTTTTTATGAAGTACAGCTGAAGCATTTTCTAAAGAGCCCACTGTAAACTCTGCACGTTGTTGCTAACAGATTTGTGTAAATGTCTATGGGCTCTTCAGAAACCTTTTACCTTTTCCAATTTTTTCACAACCCCAACATTGAGCTGAGGGAACCCCATTTTGTTTCAGGACCCACAGTTTAAGAAGCAGTGATCTAGAGAAAAATCTGTGAATAATCCATGAATAATCAGATCTGCAAATGTGAGGGCCAACTGTATCCAAAAGCAAGGGTATATAGTAAACATAAGAATATACCTATGACCTACTTAGGTTCATACCAGCATTTCTGTTCAATGACCACAAGTCACAAGCAAGGCATGAGTGCATGATGGTCTTAACGTAACTGATGTTTAAAAAGCATGATGAACACATTGACAGAGCAACGGCATAAGCTTTCTAGATAAAGTTGCTCCTTAAAGCGTAACATTACCATTGCAAAAACATGGAGTAATGAACTAAAGGCAGTACTGCATGCAAAGGCTTTTTATGGTGAGCTTCACTGCCATAAGGATATGAACAGCATGATCTCAGTTATATTACTATATAGTTATCCACTGAGTGCACTGTGATTTCCTTCCGAAGAAGAACTACAATTATACCTATTTTAAAAACACACTTTAATTTAAAGCAGCCCTGAAATGTGGCTGCAGAATATTCTTTCACTGAAATGGAATGACAA